GGCTTTGTAGTCTGCTAATTGCTATTTCAAATTGATTCTCAGTCAGAAGTGGCCCAAAGCCATCTCAATTTCTTTTGCAATTGCAAGCAGTAATAATAATAAAAACAATATACTATTGTTTTATTTCCCAAGATAATGCTTAGCAAGGTACTTTGTATTGATAGTATTAATGCTTTGTAATATTAATACAGTTGTCTTAGTACTCAGTAAAGTACTTTGTGTTAAGTGCATACTAAGTATTAAATACAGTGTTCAGTGCCTATTGTGTATTATGTGCTTTACAGGCATCACCTCAGTTAATCCTCACTCTTGCCCAATGAAGTAGGCTCTTTTATTATACCCATATTACAACAAATGAGGAAAATAGGCTGACAGATGTCATATTAATCAGGGTTCTAGCAGGGTGAAAAAGACCTCTTTAAAGGGTTTAAAGAAAGTGTTTAATGAAGAATCTCTTTGGCTTCCTTTATACAATTGTGGAAAGAGCTAAAGGAACCAACAAGGGACCAGCCATGGAAGAGGGTCCATTGCCAAAGTCATGGCCCTGCAGTGCAGGAGTGGGACCAACTAACTCCCTGCCCTCACACCTCCTGCCAGTTCCTCCCATTGGCTAACCCATCCAGGTACCAGAGGGAAAGGTAGTCCAGTTGCTGCCTTTGGTGGAGGTAAGCCTCCCAGGGCACAGACAGGTTGGAGGAGGAAGGAGAATGGAGTTGGGAGGGCAAATGGGAAATAATCTCTGTTATATGACTACATGTCTTGCTCATGGTCACTCAGTGAGAATGATTTGAAAACTCGGGCTATATGGCATGTCACAGGTCCAAGAAAACAGTTTCATTATTGTTCATAACACAGGTCCTAGAAATGAAATAGAATATCTTACCCATCCATAGTCTACCTGTGACAAATTCACCTTTCATCCTACTGAGCTAAGGGAAGAAAGTAGAGACCAGAGGTGGGTAGAGCTAGCTGACTCCCCGAGATCTCTTAGTGGTAATGAGCAGGACTGGCCTTCTTTGTAGGTTATGATCTTAGGGGCCAAAGAAACCTTCTACATAAAACAAAATTATCTCCCTATTTTCTTTCAAGGCAGGGATGCTTTAATTTCAATAGATAAGCTAAAGTCATTGCATTAGTGTCACCACCATTCTAGTTTAAATTTGATCCCTCCTTGCTTGCTAAACTGAGATACCTAAAGTAAGGGGAAAATACGATTGACAAAGGGGCAAATATACTTGGAAAGTGTACTTGATGATAATAATAATAGCATTACATTTCAACTAAGCAGACTCATGTGATCTTTTCAGCTTATTAGTTTATATTTAAATGTATTTACTCAAGGAACTTTTAAAGCTAACCTGTAGAGTGGGCAAGGCAAATATGGTGAACCCCATTTATAGGCAGTTTTTAAATGGCAAAGATGAGGCAAGACGTATAAAATCACTTTTGTTGAAATAAATCGACCTACTATCTATCTATAAAACCTCTTTATATATCATCTTTAGGGACTCATAAATATGTACGTGTGTGTGTGTGTGTGTGTGTGTGTGTGTGTGTGTGTGTGTGTGTGTGTGTGTCTATAGCGCTATACCAGTCAGGTAAGAATTATTTGAGGACCAACCTTCGTGGAGGCAGAGAAAGCATTATAAGTAGATGAAAAATTTTAGAAGAGAAATACTGCAAAACCCACCTATGCCACCTTCCTTATTACAGATATCCCAATTTAAACTAGGCTTGATCTAGATAGAATCTTAACTTTGGTTTGGTTTGTTGTTTTTTAAATATTTCTTTTTTACAAATATATATTTATTGATTTCAAAAAGTAAGGGAGAGGGAGAGATAGAAACATCAATGATGAGAGAGAATCATTGATTGGCTGCCTCCTGCACACCACTGGGGATTGAGCCTGCAACCAACATGTGCCTTGACTGGGAATTGAACCATGACATCCTGGTTCACAGGTCTGTGCTCAACCACTGAGCCATGCCGGCCGGGCCAGAAGCTTTATTTTGGATTAGAGACTTAATACTAGTCCTATCTAATACAAATATTTCAATCTTCTAAAAAAATTAAATTCTTTATTAATCCATGAGAGTATCTAGAAAAACTATGGTATCTGCCCAAGATTCTGTCCAAGTCTTGAGAAGCACAAAGGGTAACAAAGAGGAAAGTTGTCTTCTGCACACCCCTAAAAACTTATGCCCATTCCATCAAGTAGACACGAAGGTCAATGGTGACACAAAGGGGACGGGTAATTTAGTGAAGGCAGAGAAAGCATTATGAGTAGATGTCAATGGCCTGGCTTGAGAAATGAGAGGGACTGAGGAAATGAAGATTGAGAGAGTGGAAATTTATTTATTTATTTTTAAAGAAATTCTCTTTTGAGAAGTTTGGTTGTTAAGGTAAAAGAAGAGATGGGGATTAGCTGGAGATGAATGTGAGTTCAATGGAGAAGTTTCTTCTTTTTAAGAGAGAATAATGGGAACATGTTTAAATACTATGGGGATGACCTAATGGAGAGGCAAATGTTGAAGACAGAAGATACAAGAGACAGACATGGAATACAGTCCTAAAAAGGAGGGAAGTGGGAAGGTCCAGGCACAGAGGAAGAGATTGACTTGGATAGGAAAGGAGGGCACCATTAAACAGAAAGGAAGGAGGGAAGAAGGGGTAAAAATAGGAGGGCCCATGTGAATCTAGAAATGCAAGTGCGATTTTTTTCTAGAATAGTTGCAATCTTCTTATGAAATTAGAAATAATATAGTAGCAGTAAATAAAAAAAAATTGACCCATCTCTTCACTGATTCTGTCTTGCATACTAGTGGCCAACAGATATTTGAGAATCAATAATGGATAAACTTTGACATTCTTCCTGTCTTCATAGTGATTGGTAATGTTTTAGTAACATTGCTGAAGAGAAGGTTTTGAAAATTCCAAATGATCACTTCCAGCTCGCATTTTGTGGCACCTATAAATAAACTGTTTCAGCTTGGAAGTCCCCTGTTCAAATGTAAACAGGACACTCTCTCCAATTCACTTTCTTTCTCTCTTTTTGTTTAACCTCAGTCAGCAGGGCCCCAAACTTCCTTCACTTTGAGTGTGAAAATCAGAAGGAAGCAGTGGCTGTGTGGAGTCCCTGTGGATGAATGTTATTCTTATGGTCTCTGATTGCTCCTGAGCAAGTAATATTCACAATCGTTTTTGCTTTATGAAGAAAAAAAAAAGTTGATATAAAAGGTACAGAGATTAAATAACTTCCCATGTACTTATCAGCAGAAACAATAAATCTGAACATTTAGTCATATTTACTTCAAATCTTTTCTTTTCTTTGTACTAGAAGGCATAAAACGTAACTGATAAAGTTGAAATTTCCTTGAGTGTGGAAAAGCCAATAGAGAGACAGACTGGAGATACAGCAGAAAACAAAAGAATAATTGGTTGATCAACATCCCTATATGGCGACTGGTGGTTCATGGCAGTTTTGAGGAGAAAATGATGGCACAGCACAGATAAGGCTACTAGGCTGGGCCAGTGGGAGCCTCCCGGCTTTAGCAGGAGACGAGGGAAGGATGGCTGTCAGTTCAGAGGTGGTGGCAGGAAATTGAGAGAATTTTGGTCTTATGATTTCCATTTTCTCTGTGAGATTGAAGCCTGTTTAAGCCCATTCCTTTGTTGAGCGTGAAGGGGAAGTTTGCGTGCTCAGGAACCTGGGGAAAACGGAGATTTGAAACAATCCTTGGTACAGAAGGTGAAACTGGGCCTCATATGGTTCTAGCTCAACAAATTGCTTCCTCTGGGACTTTAGTCCAATCCCCTGAATTTCTTCTGTAAAATGACAGAAGATAAATAGTTTCTAAGGTTTTCTCAGGTTATGAATCATAAGGCCTACCCTCCAGTTCACCCAAACCGTTGGAAAGGCCCAAAGACTTCTCCCAGAATTCTCAGATTAGGAGTGCTCCGAGGCTCAGCCATCCTTTATAATGCGATTCTATGTCATGAGCTGGTGGGCTTGGCTGATTGAAAAATTTCAGTGTGTATCTTCTCCTTTTGAAAAATGTCTCTTTGCAAAAGTGCAGTGAAGGCCTAGGGAGGAAGGGAGGGGGGTAGAGGGGGTTAATGGGGGGGGGGGGGGACATTCAACAGTAAAGATAAATTAAAAAAAGAAAAATGTCACTTTGTCATCATTAACTTCATTGTTCATGGAAACATTCTTTTTGGAGAAGAAAGTGGTGACAATCAGTCCAAAGTCTTAAGTATTTTATGCCCTGTCAAGAAGCCATAAAATCATCAACTATCACCACTGAAAAGATTTTCCAATCATTTCAGTCAAACATTTATCCAGATTAGAGAGGGGTTATGAAATTCTACATGCATTGCATTGCTGATTTCCCATCCTCTGTGATTTTTGTGCACAGTATTATTTTCTTGACCTATGCCAAAGTAGACTTTATTATGACAAGTATGAACTACCAGGAATACTGTGGCAGCATGGACACTATCACTGTCTTTGTCAGTGTGACAGCAGACAAACTTCCTATACTATTTAAATGCAGCTCAGAACAGTACAAACTTTCTTACAAATTTCACTTAGCAGCAGAAACAATAAAAAAAAAATTATTTGCCCGTCCTTTCTCTAGCTGTCTTTTAGTTGGCTGACGTTTGCCTTCCAGTAGATTTCTTAAGAAAGGCCCTTAGGAACATTAATTCATAAGTCCTTACATGTCCCAAACTTTGCCTTGAAGGACAATTTGGCTGGCATTATCCCCACCACAAATGACCATAGTCGTGAGCTTCTCATTGCATCCTTCCTTTCTTTGAAGAAAGATGGCATAACCAAGTTTTCATGAGAATAGTTAAAATTATTACTTGAAGGGCTAAGAGAGATTTAAATGAACTTTCAGGGAAACTATACTCTACAGCGTTTGTGTCTATGCCTCTAGGGAAAAGTGGTGTCTTTTCCCTGAGAAGTGGTTATTGAAACAAGAACAAAATGGTCTTGGATTTGAGAGTTGGCTGGAAAAACGTGTTTCTAATCTGTTTATTGTTTGAGAAACAAAACAAAATAAGCTGCTCAGTGAATCTTATGATTTGACCACCACATATTTGGTTAGTATTCAGCAGTAATTATTAACAGTCCACTTCTATCTGCCAATAAGTATTGATTCTAGTTTCCCTGTGGAGAACAAACAGACAAACCAAACAACCAGGAACCCTTCTCTTTGCCATGAAGGAACGTGCATTACAATCCAGTGTTGCTCTCTGTTGTTGAGAGGATGGTAAGATAGCTCTCTAATCAGGACTTTTTCTTTTAAGTTTCAACATGAGCAAAATGAGCAGCGAGCATTGTTTGTTCAAGATCAAGACCTTTTACTGGAGCCTGTAAAGGGGAGAAAAAGAAAAGTCAGCATACCACAGTGTGCTCAGGAATGTGTGACTTCAAACAAGGCAGTGTTTTTGGTCTTGGGCTCACACTATCCTGAGAAATGTTACCTTCCACTTATTAACTTTCCTCACTAGAAATGGAAATATATCTAATTGTAAGTGAGTTGGAGAAATCATGATGGAATTGCAGACTCTCAAAATCAGAACAGACAGCAGAGGTCATCTAACCAAATTATCTCACTGTCCAGATGAGGAAAGAGTAATCCAACCTGTTTAAAAGCCTCACCAAGGTCGTGTAACGAGTAGTTTTAAGAATGAAGCCAGGTCCAAAAGTGGCTCATGTTTCCTCATATAATGTTCTTTCTGTCACCTGGTCCTAATTTTGGAAGAGAAAACAAAGACAAAGACACACAAATTATTAATTAATTTAGTTTGTCAGTTTTTTTGAGAATCTAGTCTTTGAAGTGTCTTCATAACTTTTTGTACACAGGTTGCCCACTTTTTACAAAAGAGAGAAGTTCTGTCTTAGCTTTCTTAGCTTAATTTAAAAAAATATTGGGGAGGGAGTTCAAAATGGCAGCACTGATCCTGAGATCACCTCTTCTCACACACAATAAATCTATGCTTACGTATGGAATAATTACCTCTGAAGGGGACCTAGGAACTGAATGAACAGAGCACCCACAACAAAGGATAACACTGTAAAGGATAGCACTGAGAGAAAGAGATAGTCACATTGTGAAAAAGAAACCGCACACCCCAGTTGCAGTGTTTCGTGGTCAGGAGGCATCTCAAAGGTATAAAACTTTTCCCTGAGGAGTGAGGGATTTAAGAGCCACATCAGGCACTCCAACCCTTAGATCTTGCACAGGAGAGACGAGCCTCCAAAACATCTGAAAACTATAACATACAATGAAAAAATTGAATATGACACAAATAAATGAAAAGATATACCATGCTCATGGATTGGAAGAATTAATATTGTTAAAATGTCAATACTACCCAAAGCAATCTACAGATTCAATGCAATCCCTATCAAAATGCCAATGGCAGTTTTCATAGAACTAGAAAAAATTCATTCTAAAGTTTTCATGGAACTGCAAAAGACCACAAATAGTTAAAGCAATCTTGAGAATGAAGAATAAAACTGGAGGGATCATGCTTCCCGATTTCAAACTATATTACAAAGCCATAATAATAAAAACAGGTACTAGCACAAAAGCAGACACATAGATCAATGGAGCAGAATAAAGAACGCAGAAATAAACCCACTTTATATGGTCAATTAATCTATGAAAAAGGAGGCAAAATATACAATGGGAGCAAAAGTCTCTTCAATAAATGGTGTTGGAAAAACTGGACAGCTACATGCAAAAGAATGAAACTAGACCACTTTCTTATGCCTTAAAAAACAATAAACTCAAAATGGATTAAAGACTTAAATGTAATAGATGAAACCATAAAACCCCAAGAAGACAACATAGGCAGTAAACTCTTTGACATCAGTCTTAGTAATATTTTTTTGGATCTGCCTCCTTGGCAAGGGCAATGAAATCTAAAATAAACAAATGGGACTACATCAAAGTGAAAAAGCTTTTGCATAGTGAAGGAAACCATCAACTAAACAAGAAGATAACTTGTTGAATGGCACAAGATATTTGCAAATCATGTATTTGATAAGGGGTTAATATCCAAAATATATAAAGAACTCAGACAACTCAATAGCAAAGATAACCAAACAATCTGATTATAAAATTGGAAGAGGACCTGAATAGACATTTTTCACCCTAGCCAGTTTGGCTCAGTGGATAGAGCATCGGCCTGAGGACTGAAAGGTCCCTGGTTCGATTCCAATCAAGGGCACATGCCTTAGTTGCTGGCTCTATCCCCAGTAGGGGTCATGCAGGAGGCAGCCAATCAATGATTCTCTCTCATCATTGATGTTTTTATCTCTCTTTCCCTCTCCCTTCCTCTCTGAAATCAATAATAATCTATAATAATAAAAGCGTAATATGCTAGTTAGACCAGACAGCCCAAAGACCTTCTGGACATCCTTCTAGATGTCCTTCTGGATGACCCTCAGGATGAAGCCAGGGCTGCGAGGGCCGAGGCAAGTCTCCACAGCTGCGAGGGCCAAGCCCCTTGCATGAATTTCATGCATCGGGCCTTTAGTACAAAATAAAATTGGAGGTTCTGATCATCACCTTAAGAGTGTAATTGAAGAAACAGACACAGATACAGTTTAGAAGGAAAGAATCATGATTCTCAGTATTTTGAATGGTATGAGTTTTCTATATAAAATATCCTAAAGAATCCACACATAATGTTTAGCACTTAAGGGAGGATATAACAATTCTGCCAGGCCGAGGAACCCCACCTGCCAGCGGGACCCCGCTCACTCCACAGATGCCCTTTGAGCGCCGGCGCCGCCCCAGGTGTGGCCGGTGGGGAGGGACTGCCGGAGGTTGTCTCCAGGGCATGTCCGGCCTGTCTTGCCCAGTCCTGCCCCACCCACCACCTTCTAATTAATTTCTTTTCAATGTGCACAAATCCATGCACTAGGAAACTAGTATTTTTAAAAATTTAATTTTAATAAATAGACGTTTTTCTAAAGAAGACATGCAGGTGTCCAGCAGGTACATGAAAAGATGCTTAACATCACTAATCATACGGATATGCAAATCAAAACCACAAGGAGATATCACTTTACACCTGTCAAAATGCTGTTATAAAAAAGACAACTAAAGAGTGTTGGTGAGAATGTATAGAAAGAGAACCCTCATGTACTGTTGGAGGGCATGTAAATTGGTGCAGCCACTCTAGGAAACAATATGAAGGTTCCTCAAAAAAATTAAAATAAGAACTACTATACAATCCAATAATTCCTCTTATCGGTATTTATCTAAAGAAAACAAAAACACTAATTTGAAAAGATATATGCACCACTATATTAATCACAGCACTATTTATGATAGATAAGATATGAAAGCAACCTAGTGTCCATTGATATATGAATGAATAAGAAAGATGTAATATATATGTGTGTGTGTGTGTGGGGGGGTATGGGTATGTGTATACAGAAATAATACTCAGCCATTGAAAAATAAAATCTTGCCATTTGCAACAACATGGATTGGCTTAGAGGGAATTATGTTAAGTAAAATAAGTCATACAGGGAAAGACAAATACCATATGACTTCATTTATATGTAGAACCTGAAAAATAAAACAAAACTAAAACAGACTCATAGGTAAAGAGAACAAACTGATGATTGCCAGAGGGGAGGATGTAGGGGGCTGGGCAAAATAGGAGAGGGGGATTAAGAAGTACAAACTTCAAGTTACAGAAATAAAGTCACAGAGATGTAACGAATAGCAGAGGGAATATAGTCAGTAATATTGTAATAACTTTGTATGGTGATAAATGGTTACTGGACTTATCATGGTGATCATTTAATAAGATATATAAGTATAGAATCACTATGTTGTACAACTGAAACTAATATAGTATGTCAACTGTGTTTCAATGACAAAAAATTGGAGACAATATTGAATGAATTACCTATTTCAGATACCACAGTGAATACACCCATTACTATGAGGCCAAGAAATGATAAAATTTAGTCTGCATCCCTCTTCACAGATTAGAGCTAGGCCTAAAAGAACAAGTTACCCAGCATATCCTTGGCATAGCCAAAAGAAAGATCTCTGACTACTACCAGCTGCACCATCTTAGGCAAGTCCTTTAACTTCTCTATACTTCAGTTTTCTAATCTATAAAATGCATATTATAATAGGACTGTCCTCATAAAGTTGTTATGAGGACCAAAAGCATGAATATATATATAATTTACATATATAATTATGTATAATATATAATTTTTATAATTCTTTTGAATATATGCTATATTATATATATTTACAAACTGTGTGGCCACAGTTTATAAATATATAGGTGTGTGTTATTCTACTTCTGTTACTGTATCTGAAAGGGTCTTATTCAACATAACACACTTTGGGGAACGAGCGTATGAAAGGGAAGTCTGAATTAGGAAAAAATTCCAGATGAAATTAGGAAAAAAATTCCCCTATGGTACAGAATTGCACAATTAAGTAAGTCTGAGAGTAGAAGGAGGTCAAGGGGGAAAGACTAAAGTGACACGACCACCCTTTGCTACAAATGCTGGCCGAACTGTAACTGAAACTCTTGGGGTGCCAGTTTCCTTAGTGGCCAGCAAGCTTGTTGAACAAAAGGCAATCTGGTCTGAGTCTATGACTTTAAAGGACTTTCCGAGGTTGCATAGGTAGCTCTTGGCAGAGCCAGGGCTGAAACTCATGTTTCCTGGCTCACTTCCTTTTCACTTCTCCTTTCTTGCTCCTATTACACAATTATTTTTTTATTTCTGTTGGGTAACTTTTTGCTCTTTTTATTTTTTCCAGCTTTATTAAGGAAGCACTGACAAGTAAAAGTTGTACATATTTAAGGTATACAACTTGATGTTTTGATGTAGGTACACATTATACACTAATCGGCACAATCACGTTAACTAACATGCTTATCAGCTCACTTTCTGACCATTTTCTTTCATTTTTTTTTCTAATGTGGTGAGAATACTTAAGGTTTACCCTCTTAGCAAATGGATCTCATACTGTAGTTAGTTGCCTTGTTTCTTTACCCTTTAAGTTTGGAGTAGCTGCCTAGTCTTTCCTGGGTTTTCATGATCATGACATTTTTAAAGATTACAGGCTAAATAGCTTGCAGTGGTTCTCAACCTTCCTAATGCTGCGACCCTTTAATACAGTCCTCATGTTGTGGTGACCCTCAATTTCATTGTTACAAATTGAACATAATTAAAGCATAGTGATTAATCACAAAAACAATATGTAATTATATATGTGTTTTTCCGATGGTCTTAGGCGACCCCTGTGAAAGTGTCATTCGACCCCCAAAGGGGTAGTGACCCACAGGTTGAGAACTGCTGGCTTAGAGAATGTTCCTTCATCTGTGTCTGATGCTTCCTGTGATTAGATTCAGATAATACATCCTCTGAAGGAATATCACAAAAGAGATGCTGTGTTCTTCTCATTGCAACCTATCAAATGGTACATGATTTCATTTTATTGTTGGGGAGGTTAACTTTGATCACCCGATTAAGATGGTGCCTATCAGGCTTCTTCATTGTAAAGTTACATCTTTACACTCTGTAATCAATAAGTATTTTGTTGTGAGTTACTTTGAATTAATATAAATATTCTGTTGCTCATCAAATTTAAAATACTCTCACTTATGTATTATATCATTATGGTCTCATGGATCTGTTGTATTCAATGAGTTGTAATTTATTACTGTTATTTATTTTGTTGCTAAAATTGTGCCTGATTTGACCACTGCTATGTGCCTTCAAGCTGATTTCTTTGTCATGGTGAAATGTCGTTACTTTTAAAGAAATAACTTACTTTTTGGTACAACAGATGATCTAGGTTCAACTTGTATTTTCTTGGCTCCAGCCTTGGAATCAGCCATTCTTCCAAAGAGGTTGGCTCTGTATAGTGAAGAATTACTTTTAAAAAGCAGTATCTGGGACCCACGTGTATAAATTAATATTTGAGGGTTGCAGTTCCTGGACTTTCTGAGTGGCCAGAGCTAGAGAACACACATGGGCATGCGCACACACACTCTCGCACACACACGCACACGCACACACACATGTTCACATCTATATTTTTGCTCTTTTTAAATTTGAATTTAATTAAATTGGATAATTGCTTTATCCTAAAATTTTTAAAAAGTCATGCATTCAATTTATTTATCTCATCAATATTTGAGAGGCAACAGGCTGTATGGAAATAATAATGAGCTAAGAAATAGACCTAGTTCCGTTATTTAAGAGCCATGTGAACTTGGCCCAACAACTTACCTTTGCTGAGTCTCCGTTTCTTGAAAATGGAACGAATCATATCCACTTCTTGGATTTGGTGAGAATTAAGAGAAGCTGTTTTTCATAGACCTAACACTCTACATCTCCTCCCTTGTGTTAGCCAGTACTCAGTTATAGTGATGAAAGGTTTTTCACTTAGTTGTGAAAGAGAATTTTATTTGTGTTATGTAACTCAACGGTGGAAGGCAAGAAAGAGGGGTGTGGTGCAAGCAGGAAGTCAGGCACTGTCCTGTTGCTCCCAGGTGAAGTCAGTTGGAGCCCACGCAGACTAGAACCAGAGACAGCTGAGAGCACGAGGATCTAAGTCAGTGGTTCTCAACCTTGGCTGCACATTAGAATCACCTGGGAATCTTTTGAAAATACTGATTTCCGGGCCTCATCCTCCAGAAATTCTGTTTCTTTGTTACTAATGTTGTGGCCCCATCCCATAACAAAGGAACAGAATTTCCAAAGGATGAGGCCCAGAAATCAGGATTTTAAAAAGATTCCCAGGTGATTCTAATGTGCAGCCAAGGTTGAGAACCGCTGATGTAAGTGGTGATTAAAAGAGAGTGATGTGCAAACACACATGTCTGCTACCCCCACTGTAGACAGGCTCTGTGAACACTAGGATCTGATTTGCATCACAGACAGCTGGTTGTTAATGCATGTATGTCTTAGGCCAGGTGTGCAGTATCCAAATTAGCCCCAGCTCACATAATATATATTTCTAATATTCTGCTACACCACATTGATATCATCATCCTAGACTTCGACTTGAAGAATCAGCAGCAAATCTCACTCTCCTATCTGAAGCAGCTGAAGACATGTTCATGGGCAATTGAGAGACAGGCCAAATCATACTCATATTTATAATTCATAGTTGTGTCATCTGAATTTGATGGCCTTGGAGATCCCAGCCAAGCATTATTGAGCTCCTACTTATGGAACTATAGGAAAACATAAATCAGTAAAACACAGTCTCTGCTCTTAAGTTACTCATCATCTCACTGGGAAGTAACTATAAGACCAAGCAAAATGTAACAAGAGCTGAAACGGCAGAGTGGAGGGAGGAAGGTTTGACCATTATTGAATCAACAAAGGAAAGTGTGCTGGGCTTTGAAGATTAAGTGTTTACACTTGCAAATATAAGGGAAGCTAACTTCTCAGGTAGAGGACAGAGCTTGAGCAAAGGCATGAAGACATGAAAGTGTGTGTGGGTAGAGATGCTTGGAATGGAATGGCCAGTCTCCTAGGTAACGAGTGCATTGCAGAGCCACAAGTAGGCCTTGTCCCTGTGCATTTCCTTTGTAGCAGCTATTATGATTAGTAAGCATTTATTTATTTGCTTATATTTTCTAATTTCTTAATAGGTTTATGAATTTGTAACATAATTTAAGCATATGTATGTACACACACACGCATGCACACACACAAACGTAGGTTTGCAGTTGTGAACATGCGAAACACACCATTTATTCTTGTATTTATTTGCTTATTAATTATTGTATTATTTCCATATGAACAACTGTAAACCTACTTTTGCTCACCTCTGTATACAAACTATGTGCTGTACAAACCATACCAGCCATCTGCCACCCATATTGCTTTACATTTCTTTTTTGTAAATGTGTCTTTATTGTTGAAAGTAACACAGATGCCCCTGCTTTTCATTTCTAGTAAGGGTTCTTACGTTCAGAATTATAGAAGGAGACAAATATTTCCATTGTCATTACTAAATATCAGTTGTATATCTCCCTTACCGATGATTCCATTTCAATATTGGGAGCTACTGCCTTATACCTCCGGCTCCTATTGAGACATCCTGCCTGTGTCAGGGCTTTGCAGCCAGTGAGCAGGATCTCCATGGGCTGGTTTTACTTGCGTAGGCCTGGCATCGAGTCCACGCTCACCTTTGTTCACAAGGGACAAAGGCAAGTGGTGTTTTGCTCTGCCTTCCTTAGAAATGGCAGAGCAGGCTGGATTCAATCCAGGGCCATATAAGAGGTTCACAATTTCAGCTGAATAAAAGGTTTTGTTTTGTTGTTGTTTTTTCAGTTTCTTCTGTTTAAAGATTCAAGCGAATTTCTTCAGTTGTCCTCAGAGGTTGTATGACTCTGATTTGGTGACTGTACAATAGCATTGCATTTGGGCTATTCAACCTGGATTTAACCCTCCAAACTTGGAGCCTTTGTCTCTGACTCTTTATTTGTAAATGGGACCTATACTGCTGATTTCAGGGAAGAATAGTTTAATGACGTGGCTTAAGAGTAGCACAGACAAAGCATTTTGTGCTCTTTCACCTGGATTGAAGAAATATACTACACACAGTAAAATAGAAAATTATGAGACAATTTACCTAAAAAAATGTAAAACTATTAGCTCAGATACTCAGTATTCATTTTTTTCTGATACTATTCACATTTTGTTATTTGGAAATCAAACCATATCTTCATTGAATAACAAGTGTATACGGCATAAATATGTGACTAATTATGTAACACACTTTAAGCATTTTGTTTTGCTCTTAAATATTCAGTTAGAGTAAACTACTGATTATATTTATGTCTGTGAGGTGAGAGAGAGAGAGAGAGAGAGAGAGAGAGAGAGAGAGAGAGAGAGAGAACAATTATGGTGACACATGGGGAAACTTTTCTACAATGTTCAGTGAGACAATTTCAACATTAACAAGAGAGTCTGATATTCCTAGTTTGAGCAGCATATAGCCTAGACAGTCTTAAAGGAATGAAGATGAATGATCCAGGTCATGGAGACCTTTAGCCAAGAGGATGAGAAGCCATATCCAGAGAGGTGAGATACTCTCTGAATGAAGCAGAGAGTAGAAAGGCAAGGAAGCAAGTCAGGACAATCGCCTGAGGCAGGCCCAGTGACACAGACCAGGAAACTCAGAACAAAGGGATGTAAACCCAGATGGAGATCTGAGTTACCAGGAGCCAAGAGTTAGCCAAGGATTTTGGTTAGCAGACATGGAGCTGGGCCAACTGGATATTAAATTATCTTGCTAATCATAGTCCCAACTCCCTAGCTTTAGAGAGGACCCATTTATTTTATCTCTGAAAAGTTTAAAGGTCTCCTATTTGACTCAGCTTTCAGAAATATCATAATGATATGCCTTGTTGTAGGTCTTTTTTTCTTCTTTTTTTTTTTCACATCTATTGTATGGGCTTTTATGGAATGAACAATCCCTTTTGAAGATTTCCTTGATTTTCAAAGAAGGTTCTACTTTCTCTGGTCCATTAAGTCAGTTATCATTTGCCCATTGTTATACAGCTTCCTTTTCTTCTCAAATGTTTGCCTTTGAAATAATTTCTTAATGTCATTTTAATGGAATTTGAACATTTTCAATCTCTGTCGGAGGATGGGCCCCACCGTGACTGGAGGAAGGGCAGTGGTTGTCAGCTGAGGCCCAGGGCAGGCCTGGACAGCCCCATTCCCCTCCCGGAGCCGGCCCTTCTTGTTCTGTGACTTCCTGTGTGGCTCAAGGCCAGTGCCAGGTAGAACCAGGACTTTCCATTCCCAGGCCAGAAGATAACCAAGGATGTTTAAGCCAAATCAAATGTTGACAGTTCTTCAGGCATATCTATCACAACATTGGAATTGAGCACAGTGTCCAATTAAAGTTAAAATTTAAGAAAAGGAGTTGAGTGAGAAAAAGAGAGACCTTATTCAACTTTGAAATCTATGGGCTCAGCCGTTAAGGCACTGGAACCTCTCCTCCCCAGAGAACCAAGTCAGTTACAGCTTTTCTCCCCTTGGTCAGTGGCAAACCAAGCTGTTAACTCACCAAGGGTGAAGAATCAATATTTAATTTAAAATTTTAATAGATATTTAATAAGAATTATAAAGCCACTCAAAGTATTATTAGTACAAATTATTTGTGATTCATATTCTTGAGAACTCAATGACTTAGCATTTCATCCACCTTCAGCTTCCCCACAATCATACTAAGGATAGAATTATGGGGAGCTGGCTGATGACCACGGCATGTGATAATCCAATGAATTTTTTGGAATGGCTTATTCATCAGCTTCCCCATGATGGCCACTTTTCCTTGGAACTGTTTCTCTCCCAGGACAAATAGCTGCCTGTGTATAGAAAGTGCCAGCTGTCTCCTGTCAACATCAAAGTGATGATAATAAAGATGGACAACTCACCCTGACTCACTCCCACACAGGGCTCTTGGCCATTCCACTCAACATCTTCACCAAAGTCTGAGGAGGAAATGTCTCAAGCCACCAAGTCAGTAACTTATACAGTGGACAAAAGCAGGAAAGACTAATTTGTCCTAGGAGAAAGTCCTGTTGTTGATAAATCTATGTGTGTTCAATTTGTCATATTCAACTGGAAGGCCTCTGTGTAGAATATTCCTTACCTACCTATCAGGTTGGATCATAATAAATTACCAGTAATCAACCATTTCTGAAAAGCAAGAATGATAATGTAATATAGTCCAACTGAAATAACTTCTACCTGTCCTTCAGGAGTTGGCTCAGGTATCACCTTATCAGGATTCCTTTTCTGGCTTTCCTGATTTAGATGCTATCATTTTACTCCCATTGCATTCTGGGTATATAACTATATTGTACCTATTTCCCCGTGATGGTATGCTGGGCTTACCTCTATGTCTTTCCCACCAGACTTAAGAGAAGTAGCTCTGTCTTATTTAACTTTGAGTACCCTGCAAGTAACTCAGTGATTAGTAAACAATAGGCACTCAAGTGCTTAATTTAAATGAGAATATGAAAAAGAAAAGCTAATTGGGCAGAGTATGAGTGTCAAAAATCCATTATCTTCTCATCTAAATAAGGTCCCAGGGTGGAAGAGAGTCCTTGAGTCGACTTCCTGAAATACAGCCTCTTTGAGTACAGTTCCTCTCAATCTGTAAATCTGTGAAAGAGATAATTACCTCCTTCATATACATCTATAAAACAATGGTCATGTAGGCATAGGGCAATTGGTATAGATCTAGATACTTCTGCCCTGAGCTGTTGCCCTCATTCTCCTAATCTAATGTGGGGATGGATATCCAGACAATTATATTTCAATATTTTTAAAAAACCTTGATGCTGCATTTTTAAAAATCTTGTCTCTTTGTTGGTGTTCCCGAGC